ACTGTACACTTTTATACTATAAAGTACACAGCAAAACAACTGCTTGTGGCAGAGGGTGCACGCAGCTGACAATGTCCGGCAGACGCATAAGCTACTTCCGTGATTTGAATAAATATATATATAGTGTGGCGCTCAGAATAAATATATAACAATCAATAACTGGTTAATAAGTAAATATACCATAAAATACCAATAATACCTCAAGTGATCACACTCTAAAATATCAAAGTGTATCAAATAAATAAGTGCATCAATAAATTACTCAAGTGTTCACACTCTAAAATGTATCAAGTGACTAAAAAATTAATCACATGCTTATAATTAATAAAAATCAATACCAACTTAATACTAAGTGTGAAAGTGCCAAATAATAGTGCCAAGAATATATAAATGTCCGTTCCTTCAAGACCAATCGAAAGTAATATTCTTCACGTGATAAATAAGTTCATGCAATAAATAGTGATAATCGATAAGTGATTTGTGCCAAAATCTTCTCCAAACAATAGCTGAAGTGCCTCCTCACCTCCTCCCTGCGACCCCTAAGGGCCAGCAGGGGCCGGCCGGAGAGAGAAGGGAGGACGAACATTTCCTACAAGTCAGACGGATTTATGAAAGTGGAGCTGAACCCATTGATGTAAAGGTTTCCCAAAACCGGATTGAAGGGGCTCTCCGCTCCAAATCCAGGAGAAGCCGGCCGAGCCCATCCACCTTCTCCACCTGGAAGTGAAAGAAAAGGCTGCCGCACACTGGGAGTCGTTAATACTACACTTAGAGGGTGTTTCTTCTTTGGCTCACTGGATTGGTGAGCTATTGTTCTCTAAGGCACCTGAGCTGCGTAAGGGAAATAGGAGTCCCACCAGGAAAGAGAAAGAAGGAAGAAAAAGCGGTTGGCTTTCTTTGATTCTAGGATCCAGGTTGATCCTACAAGCCTGCTGGCCCTTAGGGGTCGCAGGGAGGAGGTGAGGAGGCACTTCAGCTATTGTTTGGAGAAGATTTTGGCACAAATCACTTATCGATTATCACTATTTATTGCATGAACTTATTTATCACGTGAAGAATATTACTTTCGATTGGTCTTGAAGGAACGGACATTTATATATTCTTGGCACTATTTTTTGGCACTTTCACACTTAGTATTAAGTTGGTATTGATTTTTATTAATTATAAGCATGTGATTAATTTTTAGTCACTTGATACATTTTAGAGTGTGAACACTTGAGTAATTTATTGATGCACTTATTTATTTGATACACTTTGATATTTTAGAGTGTGATCACTTGAGGTATTATTGGTATTTTATGGTATATTTACTTATTAACCAGTTATTGATTGTTATATATTTATTCTGAGCGCCACACTATATATATATTTATTCAAGTTTATACACTACATTAGGTATTAGTAGGAGAGTGTTGGCAGCTGTTTTAGTTGTTCATCATTTGTTAGCGCAAGAGGATTTTCTGCACTCTACTTCCGTGATTTGGCATGTGAATGCATGTTCGCATCTTTGAAGTTCATAACTTGGAGGTTTTTCATATCTTTGAAAGTTTGCAACTGGAATGTTTGTAAGTAGAGGACTTACTGTACTGAGTATTTTTATAATTGAAAAGGATCAATAAAAATTCAGATTGGTTTAATCTTATATAGTAGTACATTATTGGCACCTTAAAAATCCCAGCTTGGAGCATTTCTTGACTTGTTTACGGTTCATGCATGGGATGTGGTGCCTTGAGTCATGCCCTGACCCTAGACTCATGTGATACTATGTTATATGCTACTGAGTTTGTGCCTAGGAAAAATACTAGGTATAGTAACTACCATAGTGTCTCCAACCAATAATCCCTTGGCCAATAAAGAATGAATTTCTACAAGATATAATGAAAACCTTCAATGAAAGATGTTTGCAATCACTGATGGCTTTAAAGTGATAGTAAAGGCAGATTTGTTTTTGTTTAAAAATAACAAACATGTCATTCTTACCTGTTAGCAGTCCTGATCCTCCTCTCCTGGCCCCTCCCTCCTGCCTAGTGCCTTCATAACAGTTTGCTATGGGGCACTCGAGCAAGCTCTCTCCTGAGCCGCTGCACTGCGTGTCCATTCACACACGGAGCGTGGCTTGGCCCCACTCATTGGCTCACTGACTGTGATTGTCAGTAGCAGAAACCAATGGCTACCACTGCTGTCTCAGCCAATGTGGAGGGAGAGACTTGGGAGAGCTTAGGCTCTCATGCACATCTCCTGATTGATATGGGACGCAGGTAAATTTGAGAGAGGGGTCTGAGGAGGCTGCTGCACATAGGTTTTTTTACCTTCATGCATAGAATGCATGAAGCTATAAAACCTTGAGTCTTTACAACCAAAGCCACAATAATAATGGCAGACACAGTCCTCTGCATGATCTTCTACCTTCTTTACCTATTTTTCAATAGGAACATAATTTAAAATAAATAAATTACATTACAAATAAAAATAATAATTTACATATGCAATTTAAAACAAGGGCTGAAGAACTGTGAGAATAGTATTAGAAGTGCTAGAAATAGCAATGAGGCTCTGTGGGACCAGCATGCTCCAGATCTACCTCTGTAATGTAATATATCTCCCCTTCTGCTGAATATGCAAGGATTACAGATGCATATCGCTTTATGAAAAACTCTACACAAAGAGCTTGTGACTAGGGACTTGGAACATCGTATTATGTAGAGTTACAGCAGAAGAGGAGTCCTTAAGTGTTCTGTTTATGGAGGGAGAACAGACAATTGATCTCCAAGTCCAGGTAACTACTGAATGACAGGGTTAAAGAAGCTGTAAGCAGGCTCTACATACACACATTACTCTTCTCTACACAGTTACAGTTACTGCATACTTCAAGTCAGTTTGTTAAATACACTGTATGTTTTCGGAACATATGTCTGAAAGTACTTAGCTGGTCAAATACATGCACCTTTACAATAAGAGAGTGCTGTTTTACATCTGCCAGGCAGCATTGGATGCTCAGTATTCGGGGATCCAAGCACATCTAAGAAACATCTATTTATTTTGTTAATTAATCAGCCAATGGCTTGTCATCTCTAATATTTACTATGTCAGCTTGAGAGGTGTTCCAGATGGTTCCCATTAAGCAGGATTTGGAGTTGAATTTTAAGTAGGATTTTCATTTAGATGTTTGTTTTCACATACATCTTTCAAACCAGGTTGTATCACACTTCTGTTATAGACAATTATACCCTTTAGGAAGACGTAAAGCTTTAGGGATTGCGTAAGTGTCTGTAATATTACTTTCCACAGACAACGGGGACTCATCTGCTTCATAATGTGTTTACAGTTCCTCTGCTATATAACACTGATAGTGTTTGTGATTACATCCCTCCATTGTCACCAAAGATTTTGTTTTTTAAAAATTCCATATGATTTTAGGAATGCTAAACTATAAAGACATGCTCAGCCAAGGCACACTGATAAGCAATTACAACAAGGCTGACATTAAGCCCGGGTTCACATTATGCGGTGCAGGACACTACATATAATTCACACAGGAATCGCACCGCATTCCTGTGTGAATTACATGCATATGTCTGTGCGGTGTGATTTGAGCCATACTTTTTGCATAGCTCAAATTGCATCGCATCCACACCAAAAAGGTGCAGGACCCTTTTTTAAATCCACACCTGAATCGCGTCGCATGGGTGTTCTCAACCATGTGATGTGATTTCTGCCAATCACATCACATTTTGCAATCTGTTTTGGGGTATCATTAATTTATCATTGACACCCGCACCAGATCACATGAACATGATGCGATTTCAATGTGGTGCAGGAAATGCACAGGCTTCACAGCGTTTACAGCACTGCAGTGGTGTGAACCAGGACTAAGGGGTTGGTGTACTAAAACTGGAGGGTGCAAAATCTGGTGCAGCTCTGCAGTGAAACCAATCAGCTTCTAGGTGATTTTTTCAAACAATTAATTGAACAAGCTAAAGTTAGAAACTGATGGCTACCATGCACAGCTGTACCAGATTATGTACTCTCCAGTTTTAGTAAAGCAACCCCTAACACCCCGGTCACATCAAGCCCGACTTTGAAATTGTGAACTTCACTGTGATTTCAAAGTCGATTGAGATGCCGATTTTAGGTGCGATTTGCAAGACATCTGACACAGATGTCTATGCAAATTGCACCAAAAGTAGTACATGTACTACTTTAGAAATCGTTGCGGCTCCGATCAAGTCGGAACCGCACTGATTTGATTGAGGACAATAGGGTGCAACTTGGCATACAATTTGCAAATCGCATCCCAAGTCGCACCCAATGTGACCGGGGTGTTAATGTACTTGTTTTGGTCAAAGTTTGAATCAGTTCAGAAATGTAAGCAGGGTATACACACATAGTTTGTTTTTTGTTTAACCAGTGGGTTGAACAAAAAAAAAAAATTGACAGATCCCTGCATCAACACAATAATGCAATGTAATATTGTATGAACTAATGGAAAATCAGGCTGCAAGCGCTAATCATTGTATTCTGACAGGGCTGTCCTGTCAGAATACAATGATTAGCGCTTGCAGCCTGGTTTTCCAGTAGCACTGCTCGACAGATGCTGGTTGTTAGAGTACACATATACAGAGCTGGCCAACTTTCGGTACATGTGTACCTAGCTCTTGTAATGAAAATCTAGTACCAACTGAATATACACTATATTGCCAAAAGTATTTGAAGAGCCAGCAGAAAAAAAATTCCTTATTGAACACTTTAAAGTTGGATCGCAAACCTCTAGCACATAACTACCAATGTGGCGACACGTAAAATAAAATCATATAGTGTTGCGCTCCCAAACCTCCAATTAATAAATGAATTAAATAAATAAATTTATTAATTGGAGGTTTGGGAGCGCAACACTATATGATTTTATTTTATATTGCCAAAAGTATTGGACCAGCCCTCCAAATCATTGGATTCAGGAATTCCAATCACCTCCATGGCCACGGGTGCATAAAATCAAGCACCTAGGCATGCAGACTGCTTCGACGAACATCTGTGAAAGAATGGGTCGCTCTCAGGAGCTCAGTGAATTCAAGCGTGGTATCGTGATAGGTTGCCACCTGTGCAATAACTCCATCCGTGAAATTTCCTTGCTATTAAATATTACACGGTCAACTGCTAGTGGTATTATAATAAAGTGGAAGCAACTGGGAACAGCAACTCAGCCACTAAGTGGTAGGCCATGTAAAATGACAGAGCTGGGTCAGCGCATGCTGAAGTACACAGTGCACAGAAGTCACCAACTGTCTGCAGAGTCAATAGCTAAAGACCTCCAAACTTGGTGTGGTCTTCAGATTAGCACAACAACAGTGCATAAATAGTTTCATCGAATAGGTTTCCACGGCCGAGCAGCTGCATCTAAGCCTTACATCACCAAGTGCAATGCAAAGCGTCAGATGTAGTGGTGTAAAGGACGCAACCACTGGATTCTACAGCAGTGGAGACTTGTTCTCTGGAGGGTTGAATTACACTTCTCTGTCTGGCAATCCAATGGATGTGTCTGGGTTTGGCAGTTGCCAAGAGAACAGTACTTGACAGAGTGCATTGTGCCAGGTGTAAAGTTTGGTGGAGAGGTGATTATGGTCGTCAGCATACCAAGACATTTTGGACAATTTCATGCTCCCAACTTTGTGGGAACAGTTTGGGGATGGTCCCTTCCTGTTTCAACATGACTGCGGACCAGTGCACAAAGCAAGGTCCTTAACCACATCCCGACCTCCCTATAGCAGATATACTGCTAAAGGGCAGCAGAGGTGCTCAAAATCACGTATATACGTGATTTTGTATTTCCAGGTAGTGGGCGCGCACGAGCTGTGGCTGTCAATCAACGGGTCCTGGCCGGCGATTCCCCGCCTACACCTGGTGGTTACTGAGCGTCTCCGACGGGGGGGAGGAGGACAGGTTTGCATACTAACAGTCCTCCTCCCTGTCAGCTTGGGCACACTGCTCTGGATGGCTGTGCACAGTACAGCCATCCCGAGAAGTGTTCTTACAGTGAAGCACCAACACATTGCCCCCCAGTAAAACATTCCCAGCACACAGTTAACCTTTTGATCGCCCCTCATGTTAACCCCTTCCTGCCCAGTGCCATTAGTACAGTGTCAGTGCTTTTTTTTTAGCACTGATCACTGTAGTGGTGTCACTGGGGAAGTCAGTGACACCAAGTCAGTTCCCCCCAGTGTCAGAATGCCCATTATAAGTCGCTGATGGCAGCCATTACTAATAAAAAAAAAATCCAGCATCTATACTGCCATTTGTAAACGCTATAACTTTCACATAAACCGATTAATTTACACGTACTGGGATTTCTTTTTGCAAAGATATGTAGCAGAATACATTGTGGCGTATATTTATGATAAAATTAAGATTTTTTTTTTTATTTTTTTACTGGAAATGTTTGATAGCAAAAAGTAAAAAATATTGCTTTTTTTCTCAAAATTGTCAGTCTTTATTTTTATAGCACAAAACATAAAAAACACACAGACGATCAAATACCACTAAACGCAAGCTCAATTCATGGGAAAAAAAGGACATAAATTTCATTTGGGTGCAGCGTTGCATGACCACGCAATTGTTAGTCAAAGTAATGCAGCGCCGTAACACAAAAAAATGGCCTGGTCAGGAAGGGGGGTAAATCCTCAGGAGGACAAGTGGATAAAGACATGGATGAGTGAGTTTGGGGTGGAGGGGCTTGACTGGCCTGCACAGTCAAACCGAGTCCTGACCTCAACCCGATAGAACACCTTTGGGATGAATTAGAGTGGAGACTGCGAACTAGACCTTCTCGTCTGACATCAGTACCTGACCTCGTATATGCGCTTCTGGAAGAATGGTCAAACATTCCCATAGACACACTCCTAAACCTTGTGGACAGTTTTCCAAGAAGAGTTGAAGCTGTTATAGCCGCAAAGGGTGGGCCAACTCAAAATTTAACCCTACAACAAACTAAGACTGGGATGCCATTAAAGTCAGGCATCCCAATACTTTTGGCAATATGGTGTATCTTATTTTAAAGTAACATATATAAACTTAGTATAGAATTCTAGAACGTAAAAATGTCAAACCATCCAAAGCGGGGGCGAGGGGGAGGAGCCTAACTATGGCGGCGTAGGCGAGCACGGGGTGGGTGCTCTCCGTGCTTCTCCATCGCCTCGGATACCTATATTTTGGATGCTCAGGGGCCGGGGGACCTACCTGAGCGCGGTGGGTCCCAGAGTGGAAATGGTGGTCCCGGGAGCGGTGAGGAGTGGGTGGACCGCGGCATCGGGACGGAATGGAGGCATGCTGGAGACACGCTGGAGGAAGTGCGGCACTGGGTAGGGGAAAAGCCGGCCGGCGTTTCAGAGGAGAGAGAAAGACACCGGTTCGCCCCCCCCCCCCAGTTCACGGCTATTGAATACGGCTAACGTCTCTCAGCAGTATGCCCCCCCTGAATGTTAGTGACCTATCCACAAGGGAGTGAACCTGACAGATTGAAGAAACCCAGAGGAATCTCCCCCTCAAGAGAGCAACGGAATTGGACAGTTGAGGAATCTGCTCGTGGCTGCGGCTGTCTCATCAGAAGAAGAGCAAGTGGATGTTGAGTGTGAGCAGCCTGGGCTGGCCATTATTATGCAATAGTGACTGTTTGCTGTGTAAAGGGAAAAAGAGGATTTGTGAAAGGGGGATTCCCTGGGGGGTCTGAACGAGACAAGGAGGAATTAAAGCAGCCTACAAGGAGAACTAAATGGAAAAGTGGACAATAAGCTTTGATAAAATTTGGGTCCCTGGCGCTTATTTTTACTATTCCTTGTGGTCCCTTTATTGAAGAAAACAAGATGCATAGAAGAAATGAAGAATACAAATGTTAAAAATAGTGGGCCAAAGGGGTCTCAAACCGGTACGATAAAAAAATATACGTCTCAAGGAAATGTGACTCCAGATAGGTCTCAAGGTGTTGGTGAAAAAAGTGAACTGGAAATGAGTATAGATGGTAGCCCTAGACTCTCCCTGGGAAATAAATGTAGTAGTCAGCAAGCTACAGAAAATTTGGAGATGAGGGATATTGAAAGTGAAACAAGTAGCAAACAAGAAAGAGATGGCAGACATGTTCAAGAATTTAGAAAAAACAATAAAGCAAGAAATGGCAAATATACGGAGTGATTTGGGGCAGATGCTATTGATGGTGGAGGAGACGGAGGAAAGAGTTAAAAACCATGCCAAATATATCTCTGACCCAGAGAAAAGGACAATAGATATCAGGAAAGACCAAAAAAAATTGCTTTACAAAATGGAAGTACAAGAAAACAGGGATAGGAGAAATAAGGGTAAGAGGAGTTCCAGAGTCTGCAAAGGGAGAAGAAACACGAGGCCTTGTCTGTAAAATTTTAAACTCCATAATGGACAGACCAGAAACAGAATTGGTTAACCTGGAAGGTGTTTTCAGGATAGGAAAGATTCAACAAGGAAGTGGAAAAGAGAAACCAAGAGATATAATTGTCCAATTCCAGAAGTGGGGAGATAAAAAAGAAATATGGAGAAAGATTAAGGGAAGATCAATTATTAAATATGGAGAATCATCAGAGACATGGAGGAGAAGATCTCTGAAACTCCTGTTAGAGCATATGATAAAGCAGAATGTGCACTATAGATGGGGTATTCTGGAGAATGGATGGATAATTGGATGGAAGAATGGAGTTACAGCGTATTTGAGATTCCCCAAGGACTTAAGAGACTTCTGTGACAGACTTGATTTACAAATGGTAGAGGTTCCTGGTTGGGAGGTTGAAGAAGGAGATTCTGGAGCTAGAGGGACAAGAAGATTGGCAGTTTGCTAGAAGAGGGAGATAGGGAATAGAGGGGGGGGGGGGAGGGTGATGGGTTTTGTTTTTGTTGCTGTTTTTTTTTTTTCTTTTCCTCCCCCTCTCTCTCTCTCTCTCCTCTTCCCTTCTTCTTTTCTTCCCTTCTTCTTTTCTTCCCCTCTTCCTTTTTTTTCTCCTTTTTTCCAGGCCTTAAGAGTTGCTGGGACCATATCGAATTGACTAGATAGAATTGGGGTATCTGAGGTGGTGGGAAGTAGGGGGGACCATCCATGGGTGGAGTTCAACCCCAAGGTGGTAAATCTATGGTGGGTTCGGACCCTCAAAAGATGTATAGGCAAAATGTAAGCCTAAAAGAAGGGAGGGGTGGGAGGGAGAGGGGGGGTAGATTGGAGGGAGGAGGGGTGGGGGAGGGTATTATGGTTGACAGCCTGCGTGAAGAAAGGAGTAACAAGGGCAGAGAAAGAAGGGGAGAGGAGAAGGTAGAGAGAAAGGAAAAGATATAAAGAAAATGGAAGATTTACGGTTTATAACTTATAACGTAAACGGGTTGAATTGTCCAGGGAAAAGGGTTAAATTATTTAAGGAACTACAACATAGAACAGCCTCAGTGGTTTTCCTGCAGGAAACGCATTTTGAATTGAAGTCAAACGTTAAGTTGAACTCTAGATACTATCCATCATGGTATTATGCAGATTCCCCAATTAAGAGAGCAAAGGGGGTAGCTATAGGATTTGCAAAGAATATAAGGTTTTAGTTGGAGGATAGAAAGACTGATCCGGATGGGAGGTTTTTATTCCTGAAAGGTAAACTACAAGATATTGAATATACAGTTGCTAACATCTACTGCCCAAATAAGAAGCCGGAGTTATTCTTGAAAAGAGTTTTAAAAAGTTTGATGGATTTTAGAAAGGGATATTTGATAGTAGCTAGGGATTTAACTTATGTATGGACCCACAAATGGATACAACTTCTTCTGCACAAAGGGAGGGGAGTAAGTGCCTAAGATTACTGAGGAAAGTGATAAGGGAGTATCAATTGGTGGACAGTTGGAGAATCATGCACATGAAAGATAGAGACTATTCCTTCTTCTCAAAGGTACATGAGATGTATTCTAGGTTGGACTACGTAGTAATAGATCACCGATTAATAGAGTCTTTGGTTAAAGTAACAATAGAGGTAATGTCACTCTCAGATCACGCCACTGTTGTAATAAAAGTAGGGATGGGGAAGGAGGCCTCCAGGAGGGTCGGTATGGAGGTTGAATGAGGCACTTCTAATAGATCAAGAGACCGAGCGGAAGATTGGAGAGGAGATTAGGAGATATTTTGAGGAAAATGAAACGGGAGATGTGTCGTTGGCTGCACTGTGGGAGGCCCATAAGATATATATAAGAGGAATCCTTATCGCAATTGGGGCAAGAAAGAAAAGAGAAGGAGAGAGAGAAAATTAGTGGGCTCCTAAAGGAGTTAGCTGAGTTTGAACAGTTGCATAAAAAGAATATAACAAAAGAGATAATGCGGAAAGTAAAAAAAAAGAAAGAAGAATTAGCGAATATGATGGAAGAGGAGAAGAGGAGAGTCTTTAATAAAGTGTTATGTGAAAGGTATAGATGGGAGGATAGACCAGGAAAGTTTTTAATGAGAGCTTTGAGGAAAAAGAAGAATAGGAATTATATAGATAAAATAAAAAACCCAAGGGAGAACTGGTTCACTCAACTAGAGATATTGCGAAGGTGTTTAAGGATTATTACAGTAAACT